GTGTGTGCATACCATCATAAAATTAAGAAGTTATTTTTACTACAACGTAGGTATTGTGTCTGAAAAAGTGGAGTTTGGGGGTCGGCCCGGTCTCTGTTTCAATTAATCCCATATGTTATGTTGTTCACTTTACGCGTTTCTCACTTTACGCGTGCCGCCGTGGGTTGAATTAACCGCGTAAAGTGAGGGTTCACTGTATTTATTCTTCTCTGGAAGGAAGGGGGTGCCAGTGGATAGGTCCGCCCCGGGTGCCAAATACTCTAGGAACGCCTCTGCGTAGATACACACAGTGTGTGTATATATATATATATAGATATATGTACACTGTGTTTTGTGTTGGGATTCTCAAGTTGTTTATGCTGATGGAAGGTAACAGGAAGTCTTGGATCTCTCTTGAAAAAAATTAACTCAAGAAACTTGCAGCTAGGAAAGCTGTAGCCTCAAGCTACTTGCAAGTCTTATTTGATGTGTATCAAGACCATCAGTGTAGAGAAGGCCTTTGATACCAGGGTCATGCAGTCTTCAGGTTTATGGCTTTCCTGTTCAGGTACATTAAATGGCCTGTACATACCACCAGTTTACCTGACTGATAAGTAAGCTGACAAGTGATGGTGAGGATTTATGTTGAGGTACTGTAGACAAAGACAGGTAACTCTGGGGTGTGTGACATGCAATCAGATAACTTCAGATTGTAGAAAATGTATGGACAGGTGCCTTTAGGGTGTAAAGCATACTGTATATTCTGTATATTGACAGGAAATTTCAAAATGTATTCTATAAACAAGTAATAACTACATTGACTATGAACACTTAAATTTTAGACAGTAGTTGACCTAAGAATAGATAACATTAGATTGTAATCTTTGAATGGGTTGCTTGAAAATGTGGCAAGTGTGTGAACAAGTAATATTGTAATGTAGATAGTAATTGATGAACAACTGATTTTAGACTATTTGGTGTAAGCATTTAACCTTTTGAATGTAGACAGTCTATTTCTTTAGACAAAAAAAGAGAATTATTGTTGTTTCTCAAAAATATGTATTTGTACACACTTTAATAAATCAGAAATATGGGGAATACCGTACTGCCCGATCCTGGGGTCACTAATTCTAAGGGGATAACTTAACTCTACTCTTAATTTTAAGGTCGCTGCCACCAGACCCCCCTGGACAGTATGTAGCTCGTTAGGCAGCGGGCAGAGTAAGCTAGGCATTGGGTTGGGTTTTTCATTGACCAAATCGAGAGTGGGAAGTAGGGTGAAATATCAAGCATGACTTAACTAATTTATTCCTTATAAAACATATTGCATCCCGTCACAATCCAAAAAGAGTTGGCCTTCATCAAAAGAACCACTATTATGTTCATTACACTTCACATCAATATACGTCTTACATAAAAATAACTACTACTATCATCTTCATTCTTCATAGCAATCAATGACCTCCTTACCTCGGTCATTCTTTCTTACCATAACACCCAACACATCAGACTGCACCACCTGTTAGAGTATAGCATCACATGTTACATTACAGCACCACATGTTATACCATAACACCACCTCCCAGGTACACTCCACACCTACAGTACAAGTATGGAACTCTTCGGTATTCTTAGGTACACATACCGTACCAGGTACCTGGTTCACACTCTACTCTTGCTGAGTACGGTAGATGGGTTACTTCCCAGGTAATAATACCAGTACTGGTTCCACGCCTGATATTCTCAGGTAGCTCCACGTGGTGACCACAGATTCACAGTGGAGGTGCATAATGGCCATAAGCAGTCACACTACACATGATGAGTCCTTCAGTGTGGTAATGGCCGAGTACATGTTTTGGTGAGAGAGCGGGGATCATTAAGTAAGGTCTGATGGGCTTTTATCACCACACACTATTGCAACTATTACTTCATTTTATAACATCAGGCAAGGTTTTAAGATGTAAAAAAACTGCTAGATAAGTCTTTTTAGGGCTGAATGGAGCACGATGGAGTTCACTGACCTGTTTTGGTGAGAGAGCGGGGATCACAAAGGAAGATGCCTCACGTCTCTCACTGAACTAGGCCTATAGTTTCCAATCTTTAATTTTCACTTTGACATTACAGTATTCTGGTTCTCACATACACACTTTCCTATCTTAATCCTAAATTACATACTTAAGTAAGGATCTGGTTTGCCAGTTCCTGGGGAAATTAATTGGGCTATATCATTAACTCAAAACTGTAGCCCGGGGCAGAATGGACACCAACCCGAACAAAGCCTAGCGTCGTATTTTCATGGCATGAGTATATCCACTTCACTTCAATCTGTATTCAGGGATCCTCCCCTCACACCTTGCAATCGTTGAACACATTCATAAGATTCTCTGATCATTGCATTGCTCGTGGTTATTTGTCACATGAGATAACGAGGTGTATTAAGCTTACACCGAGGCATACAAGATATTTTCTTTGAAGTATAGTTTCAGGATCTTTTCCAACACTTCACATTGGTCTGATACATTTATCTTTTTTTCCAGATCACTGTTCTCTTATATTTTCATCTGATACCTGCGGTAGCTATGTTCACTAATCATTCACAGACGCAAATAGTATGACCTCCAAACACGATCTACACTTATCCCTTATAGTACACTAGTCCGTATCAATTGGACCTTCCCAATCATCCTATAGATACCTTGAGTTCTCCTTAATGCTATGAGTACATACACTTAATATTATATGACCGTACCTTGGTACAATTCGTATAAAACAACATACATTAAGTGAGTTATCCAACGTTTCCCGTTTTCTGTGACTCCATTAGAAAGGTGGATTTGAATGTTATGTAGCGTAATATGAATTAAAGAGATATTAAGGATGACAATGATGTGCGCAGTACAGGGGCTCTGGTCTTGCTGAATTATCCCAAATTCTGACTAATCGAGGTACTTTACCCCCTCCTACAAAAATACAACAATAAAAACTTATCAACCCATATATGTGTACATGTAATTATTAAATGTAAAAAAGTAACACTTACCTACCAGCACAGCAGGCAAAGAATGAAGCATCATAGTAGGTGACACAGGTGACCAGATATGCCGATATTTTCCCAGATAATTTTATATATCTTGGCATTTCCCGTTATGCTGTACTATAATACATTCCGAGACCACATCTATACCGAGTTATATGAATTTCCAAGTTAACAAATGCCGAGTTATTGAGGGTTTACTGTACTGTACAGTCCCCCAAAAAAGTATCAATAGATTTTCTGTCATTACAATTTGAAATGCTTTAACATGATCCCCATTCCATTGTAGCAGG